CTCTTTCTTCAGGAGAACTGGATGTTAAGCTCACACATCACTCCAGATAACCATCGCTGCCAATCTGAAAGAAAAAGACACAAAAGGGGGAAGAAAATGCATCAGAGTCTGGACCAGAAACCCGCCCTATCTGCACTGTGTCTTGTAGTCACTGCTGCATAACGTCTTCTTACCGTCTCTGTACTCTCCTGCTGCTCCTTCCCTGCTCTTCCAGCTACTGTCGGTGGCCTCGCCCCTGCACTGGTGTCTTCCTGCAGCTCTCTCTCTCTCTCTCTCGTCTGTCTCTCTGTTTTGCTCGGATGGAAGGATGCTGAGAAAAGCTGACAGTAAACCCCAGTCACATGGAGTTCACACACACACACACACAGTCCTCTTCGTTAAAGGGATGGAGAGATACCGGGGAACTGTCCAGTGCAAAACCAAACCCCAAGCCCAGGGTTCGTACAGCCTGCTGCCGCTATGTGGAAGTGCTCCCCGGGACTGCAATGTTCCCAAATCCCGGTTAGAGGAGCCGGGGAGGCAGTTACAGCTGTGGTTGACTCTCTGCGCTTTGCTGAGGAAATGAACAAAAGGGAGTGATGATGGGGGGAGGGAGGGTGATGCCTGTTTGTTTCTATGCCAGCCGGCTTTATGGATTATTCATTGGGGACGGGGGGGGTGGTGTGGAAGCAGCTGGGACAGGAAATGAATGGCAAACAAAGACGGAAGCTTGAATCTGGTTAAAGCACCCGTTGCCCCTCAGCGTACAAGGAAAGCAATCGTGTGGTGGGAGAGAGCGGAGTTCCAAAGATCTGGCTCTTGACAGCTTCCATGTGCAACGCTGACATTTCAGTCACAAAAATATACACCAGATCCCCTTTAAACAACCTGCCCCCTTTTTTTTGTTATTTGTAAACCACCCTCCTGATATCTGTTTTTATTTCAAATTGTGCCCAGACTGGGAAGAGGAAATCAGCTGAGTCCTTATTCCTGCTCATTCCCAACCCTGACCCCTACTGGAAAGTGTAAACAAACAGGCATTCACTGAGAATTATAACCTTAAAGAAAGATTTACATTTGTACAAAAACCTTCATTATCCTACTGAAGTGTGGAGCCAATTTGTGCAAAGCAAGCTTCCACTAACTGATCACCTGACTGCAGGGTAACTATCAGCTAGATCAGAGGTTAACAGGGCTTCTTTATATCCACTAGAGAGGGGAGGCAGGGTTTTAGTTCAACATCTCATCCAAAGAATGTCAGGCGCAAGCTGTGATGCCACTTGCAGTTGAATATCTGCCAGAGTTTGACGGGTGTGTACCTACAGTACCGAGACTTGTTTGATCTGCTGGGCGCCACACTAGATTACAGGAATGGAAAATCCCTTCTGAGACTTGAGATCAAATGCAGCCCAGCTCAGGATTATGATTCAACATCTCTTCACTCCTTGGGATGCTAACTGCCAGTTCATGCTGGTTTATGGGTATTTTAGACCTGAAACCTGGTCCCCTTAGCAATGACATGGAGGTTAACCAAACCCATTTCACATTGGCTGGCACAGTTCCCAACAATATATTCCTGTTTGAGTGTACTGGAAGATCCCAGCACAAATTTTAAATTCCTTCCCTACCTTGTCTCCAGGAAGCAAATCTAGCACCTTTATTAGTATCTCTGTAACCCTCAGTACTTTTAACAATCTCTCTCTAAATATCACCATAACCTTCAGTGTTAATGTCTGTATTATTCAGTAGTAATATCTGTGCCTTATCTAATTAATATCGTTATCGTCATAATTGTGAACAGCATTAACATCACCACAACCCTGTGTGTTGCTAATATGACCGTAAGATGTAGGAGCACAATAGGCCATTTGGCCCATCATTGGTGCTCCTCCAATCAATGAGACCATGGCTAATCTGATAGTACTCAAATCTACCTTTCTGCTTTATCCCATAAGCTTTGCTTCCCTTAATTAGAAATGCATCTATCTCAACTGTGAATTGACAGAGCCCAACAGCCCCCTGCTGTAAAGAATTCCACAGAATCACCTCCCTCAGAGGCAAAAAAATTCCTCCTCATCTCCATCTTAAATGGGTGACCTGTGCTCCGAGATTATGTCCTCTCCTCCTGGACTCTTCCACAAGGAGAAACAATCTTTCCACTCCTACCCTGTCATGTCCACAGAATCTTGTATATTTTAATAAGATTGCTTCTCACTCTTCTATATTCCAATGAGTACAGGCCCAACCTACTCAACTTCTCCTCATTAGAAAATCCTGTAATACTGTGATCAATCCAGTGCACCTTCTCTGGACTGCTTCCAAAATAAGTATATCACAATAAATCTCTGTTATTAATATTTATGTCACTCAATATTCTTATTATCTCAACAAGCCCCAATCTTCCTTCTCAACTTAAAAATGGGGCTGAATCAATAAAGTCAAGGTTGACTTTCTTTGAACCTGGAAGGCAAAGGGATGATTTTATTCAAAGCTTTCGATTTCACAGGGATAACCTTTTTTTAATTCTTTCATGGGAGTGGGGCTCAGGAAAACCAGCATTTGTTGCCCATTCTTAATGAGAATCTTGAACTGTGTAGCAAGCTAGGTCATTTCAGAAGGCAGTTAGCGGTTAAGCACATTGCTGTGGGACTGGGATCACATGTTGGCTAGACAGGGTAAGCATAACAGATTTCCTTCCCTAAAGGACATTAGTGAACCAGGCAGGTTTTTACAACAATTGATGGTAGTTTCATGTAGAACATAGCTACAGAGAAACCAATTCTGCTGGCTGAAGAGTCTGGGACCCGGGGGGTTGGGGGGGTCGGGGGTGGTGTTGGTCATGGTCTGTAAATTAAAGCCATAGCTTTCAATGAAAAAAACAATTTAAATCCAGAACGTGGTAGAGATCTGGAACTCTCTTTCACAAATGGCATTTGATGCCAGGTCAATTGTTAATTTGAGATTGACAAATATTGTTTAAGCAAAAGTTGTTCATAGAAATGTGACAAAATAATATGTGGATTTCAATCACATATGAACCAGATGGATTGAGGAGGCTCATCTTGTTCCTCAGTTCATTTCTGAGGAGGAAAGCACTGGACACAAAACAAAATTCTTGGAGACGGCAATAGGAACTGTGGGAACACCCAGTGAGTCCAGAAGAGATTCTGAGACCAGGATATTAACAGGAAAAGTAGTTCCAAGGATGATGTTTGATCCAATGATGTCTTCCATCCACTGATATTCCAGACCATACTAATTGCTGAGAGATGCAAACGAGATTGAGTTGATGAATGTAAAAGTATTCATCATAAAATATACACAAGATGCATATAAAAAGGAGTCACACTGGGAGAGCTTTGGCAGCATCAGATAGTAGAGTTCAAAAGAATGCAACTTCAGCAACAATATGAATATGCTGCTGATGTTAACTTGGTTACCCAGAAACATTGAAAACAGGAGCAGGAGCAAGCCATGTGACCTATCAAGCCCACTCCGCCATTTAACATGATCATGGCTGATCCATTAACACAATGCCATACTTCCCCATACCCTTTGATGCTGTTAGTGACTAGAAATCTATTTAATTCTTCAATGATTTGGCCACCGCAGTCTTACATGGTAGATAATTCCACAGGTTCACCACCCTCTCAGTGAAGAAATTTCTCCTCATCTCATTCTGAAAGGATCTACCCTATATCCGGAAAGCCTCACCCAGAGAGGAAGAACATCATCCCTGTATCCAGTCTGTCCAGCTCTTTCAAAGTTTTATTTGTTTCAATGTGATCCAAGTCTCATCTTTCCAAACTCCAGTGAATACTGTCCCAATCAACCCAACCTCTTCTCATACAATAAACCTGCCATCCCAGGAATCAGTCTGAATTGGAAAATAGTTGCTAAGGTGTCACAAGCAGGGTTTAAGATGCATAGAATATAAGCAGGAGGTTCAGAAATGGTATAGTCAAGAAGGCCCATGTCTCTAATCAGAAGAAACACCACATTTAAATTAGCAGAATGGAAGATCTAATGAAAAAATGATACTTCTCATAGTATTAGACTGGATTGTTGTGGTGAGATTTTAATGCTGACACAGGAACCCTTAATAGCAATGCAAAAACAAAAGTTCCTGAGCAAGAAAGGACAATAACTAAATAGTGTTTTTTTCTCAAAAACGGGAACAGGGATTTATACAGAAATTATGAGATTGGCTTTGGAAAGGTATAGAGGCCAGAGGAGGCAAATCAATTTCTGTAGCCACAGACAGAACTCTCCCCTAGAATAGAACAAATCAGGAAAACCATAAGTGCGTGGGAGGAACCAGGCACTCGGATGGGAGTGATCTTCAAACAGGTAAAAGTGGCACCATTAGAGCATTTGTTTACTTTCAGGTTTCATTTGAAGGCAATATCGTTTGTGATAAATATTAGAGAAAGAGGTGAAGGGTAATCAGACCAAAGTTAAATATGCAGATAGAAGACTGTCTCCAATGGAGGAAAACCTGGAGGGGGTGTTGCTGAGGGAAGATATGCGCGCAGCCTCATTCGCCACAGGGAATGGGGGCACATAGTTTGTTATGCCCCCCAGGGAAGTGGTGCTGCATAGTGAGATTGGCCTGAAGGGGTGTGTGTGTGCTGCACAGTGTGATTTGCCCCTGTGGGGGGAGGGGAACACACTGTATGATTTGCTGCAGGGAAGGGACCTGCACTGTTGGATGTGCCTCCAGGAAAGAGGTGCTGCATTATATGATATGCCCCCACCCCAGGAAGTGGTGGGGACCTGTGTTATTTGCCCCCAGGGAGGGGGAGATGTTGCACAGTGTGATTTGTCCTGAGCTCTGCACTTCCCTGCGATTGGATCTGGCTACAGTTGTTGTCAATTTCCATTGAGCACGGTTTTGAGAGGCGGGATGTGATGTTTATTTACGGTAGATGATTTGTTTCAGCAGGCCGGTCTATGCGAGGATTTACGGGATCGGTTCATTTTTTTTTGTTTCAAGCGATGACATCAGTCGGTGAGTAAACTCGACTGTGTCAATTTCTGGCGGGAAAATGTAGCGAGAGCAGGAGATACATTGAACCGGGAGGGAGCTGAGTGCTACTGCCTTAACAGGTCTATCCCTTACACCAGCATGGTCCTCCTCCGGGAGGGGATCTGTCCTGGAGCCACCGCCCAACTCATCCAGGCTTTGAGAGATCAGAATATAGTAACAGGTAGGGAGACAGGGGAACCATATGTTGGCACCCCTCACCCACCCACTCCTGATACACGCAAAGGAAGACTTACATTTACATGAGAGAGATAGCAAGAACTGCAGATGCTGGAGTCAGAGATAAGAAGGGCTCCTCTCTATTCATTTCCCAGCTCCCTCCCCCATTTCTGAAGAAGGGTCTCGACCCGAAACGTCAGCTTTCCTGCTCCTCTGATGCTGCCTGCCTGCTGTGTTCCTCCAGCTCCACACTGTACTATCACTTACGTTTACATGCCGCTTTGCACAGCCTCAGGAAAACCCCTGTCGCTCACAGGCCTGTTGAAGTATACTCTCTGTAAATGCTGCGCAGAGTCTTTTTTTGATAGACTGTCACGCCTCAACTTGACTTCCAAGCTTGCTCCCCACGCAAGCTGAATCTCGCCAGGCTTTAGCTTGCTGCAATTCAATTGGTGATAATAAGGATTGGACACACTCCAATGTTGCTTCCCCATTCTGGCCCTGTTTCCTGTAAGTGTCAACAACCCAGAAGAAACCGTTCTCTTTTTCACCACTTTGTTGGAGACGGGAAGGGGCTGGTTGCTTGATATGAGGCGGTGTGGGTGATTGAAGATTGAACTAAAATTTTAGCAATAAGCCTGAACAGAGTTGGCAGACCACCCCTCTGTGAAAAATGCAGTAATATTTATCTGCCACTGACTTCCAATCGCTATTCTCTTTAAAGATACAGTATAAATGCGAGCAGTGTTTACCCCGTGACTTGGTTTCCAATCCAGCTCTGGTTTAATAGTGTAAAAAGTCGTCCACCCCTCATAGTTCCAAGGACCTGAATTTTTTTTTTCTCCTCTCCATTCACAGGATAGGGGTGTTTCTGGCTAGGCCAGCATTGATTGTCCAGAGGGTACTGCTGTGGGTCTGAAGCCACATGTAGACCAGAGCAGGACTGCAGATTACCGTCACTAAAGGACATTAGTGAACCAGATGTGTTTTACAACTGCCAGTGTTTACATGGTCACCACTAAACTAGCTTGTAATTCTAGATTTATTTTAATGGACTGAAATTTCACTGTTGACCATCATGGGATTTGAACTATGTCTCCAGAACATTAGCCCAGCTCTCCAGATTATTAGCCTAGTGACACAATCAGTACTCCACTTATCCTGTAGTTGAAAAGCTCTCTTGTATTTGGAAGTATAGCGTCACATGACCTCTGGTCCTCACAAATGAGCAGTGCACTATCTGCCTCATGCTGATAGGGGACAAGAATGGTGTGTTAACTTCATGAAGGTATCACACTGAGGCTGCTGAGTTTGAGATTAAGGACGTGATACTCTCTAATCGAATCTCATGCTCACTTTAATCTTTTTCAGTCGTGCAGTTGGTGTCTGCAGATATTGAAGACCTGGCGCAGAAAAGCTCCGTTTCCTATAAGGTAATGAGGGCACTGTTTCAAGTGTTGATACCAGCTCCTCAAAAGTCAGTCTAAAGGCACCCTGTTCAATATTCAACATCTTTGTGTGTTAAACCTTTGTAGTTTAGTGATAGTTACAAGGAATTGTCAGCTGGAGTTAATAAGTGCTGTACGAGACTTGGAGCAGGCTGATGTTTTAAGAGGTTTTCTGATTGTGAGGCATCTCTGACAAGGCCAGTATTTATTGCTGACCCTTAGTTTCCCTGAGTCAGTGCTCAATAGAACTGAGTAGATTACTAGATCATTTCAGAGGGCAGTTAAGAGTCACCCATGTTGGTATGGGACAATAATCACATGCAGGGCAGGTTTTCTTCTCGAGGCAAGTAGTGAGCTATCTCCTTCAAGGACTTTGTGTCACACAGTATTTTGTTTTACAATGCACATCGAGACAAACTTCGACTGTGCCTGGAGGACCATCAACTCAGTGAAAGACACTCTCTGATCTGCTCAAAGCTTGTTGGTCTTCCAGAACAAGGAGTTGATCCCAACTAAGTGTTGCAGACTGGCACATTCCAAGGCTTAGGGAGGCACTAAAGCTTGGGTCAGCTGCTGCCAAGGCATACTGGGGAAAGATCACTGTCTGAGGCCCTTCTGCTGATGTTAAATGGGGATCTGTTCAGTTGTTGGATCTTCCCAATGCCTGAAATATATGTTAATATAGTCTTGTTCAAGTAAGAGATGCCTTTGGTTTGTTTGGACAGAGTCAAATTCCAAGGTTTGTTTGTTTCCTTAATATGCTTTTGTACAAGATCACACTGCATTTGTGACGTGTGTGTGTTTTATATATAAGAACAGGATGTTTTTATCAATAAAGTATGTTGTTGAAATAAAAACAAAGAAGCGCTTTGTTTTATAATGCTCCTGTGAAATGCCTTGAGACATTAAAGGCACAATATAAATATAAGTTGTTATTGTAGTCAATTTGGTTTTCAACAATCCGGCAGCTTTGTCGTTTGGAATTTTCCAGAGTTTGTTTTAAACCGAAATCGAGTTCTTGAACCACCAAGATGGGGTTTGAATGAGGATGTTGTGTTGTGTGTTTCTGGTGCTGTTCCTGAATATCTGCTCCCCGTGTGTTTGCTGATATTCTTTGTCTCCCCCAGACACTGGTCGCTGTGAGGAGGGTGCTGCTTGTCCAATACTCTCCATTCCCTTCCAATGGGACAGATTTCTATGAGGAGCTGCTGGCTTCCACGGCCATCCTGTCAACTGGAAACCAGAGGTGGGGGACTAGACTGGGTGGATGCTGAGATGTTATTTCTCCTCGAGGGACAGACTAGAACTAGAGGATACAATTTAAAAATAGGTGCCTTCTGCCTAACACGGAGCGTGTGGAACTCTGCTCGCCAGAGAGCAGCGGAAGCGGGTCATTAGATATTTTTAAGATGGAGGGAGAGAGATTCTTGACAAATGAGGGCAGCAAAGTGTATTGTGGGTTCAGCAGGAATGTGGAATTGAGGCAACAGTCCTATCAGCCACGATCTCATCATATAGCAGAGCAGGGTTGAAGGCCTGAACAGTCTACTCCCAATTCATATGTTCACATCTACGTAGATGATGTAATTTTGCTTCCAGCAGGGTATTTTACATGAAGTAGTAATACTTTGCAATCTCTCATAACATCAGAAACTGGGTGCAGATATCGTGGGATTGAAGAATTCAGCAGATGTTTTACTACAGCCATCTATTGTATATAATCATTGCTATCACAGGCACATATTTAAGCTGTCGGGCTGGATGAACACAGCAGGCCAAGCAGCATCATAGGAGCAGAGAGGCTGACGTTTCGGGCCTAGACCCTTCATCAGAAAAGGGGGAGGGGAAGGGGGTTCTGAAATAAATAGGGAGAGAGTGGGAGGCGGATAGAAGATGGATAGAGGAGAGGATAGGTGGAGAGGAAACAAACAGGTCGAAGAGGCGGGGATGGGGCCAGTAAAGGTGAGTGTAGGTGGGGAGTTAGGGAGGGGATAGGTCAGTCCAGGGAGGACGGACAGGTCAAGGGGGCGGTATGAGGTTAGTCGGTAGGAGATGGAGGTGCGGCTTGAGGTGGGAGGAGGGGATAGGTGGGAGGAAGAACAGGTTAGGGAGGCAGGGACGAG